CAGAATCGAAGATTTCAAAGATTTGGAAACGCCCCAAACCTAGCCTAACCGTTTTAGCTTCGTTTTACTTCTTTCCCGAATATGTTCTCCGAGTATATATGTAATTAATGTAATGTTTTTTACTTTATTTACAACAAATAGCGAAACGTATTTGTTGTACGTAATCGAAAAATGTATTTCGAAATAAATTATCGAAAGATAAAGTCGATCTTTCGTAAACGATTTTCGAGTAACCGTAAAAATGATCAAAAGATGAAATAATTTAAATTATATCAATTATTTCATAAAAGCATCATTTAATATTAAAATATTAAAGAAAATATGTTTTGATAAGAAATAATAAAAGTTGGATTACACTTTTTTAGGAAAATATTCTTATGACAGTAAACTTTCCCCGAAAATGAATATATAATAACTTTTATAATTTTCGATTTGCAAGAATAGGTTCTGAAACGATGAAAAATGACCGATTCGGAACCAATCAAAATCGAAGATTTCAAAGATTTGGAAACGCCCCAAACATTACTATTTTAGCTTTGTTTCACTTCTTTCCCGAATATGTTCTCCGAGTATACATGCAATTAATGTAATTGTTTTTTACTTTATTTACAACAAATAGCAAAATGTAATAATCAGATACAATATACTAATTTGAACAATCTCATTTACTTGGAAAATAAATACGTATAATCGTCATTGTTTAGCAACTACAGACCTTTACAAATCCTATTATCTTTTATCAAATGTATAATAAACGTTCTATCAAACGTATAATATAAATTTCTCAATTACGTACAATAAATACGTTTTCTGTTTGTTATAAATAAAGTAAAAAGCATTACATTATTATATATATACTCGGAGAACATATTCGGGAAGGAACTAAAACAAAGCTAAAATGGTTAAGCTAGGTTTGGGGCGTTTCCAAATCTTTGAAATCTTCGATTCTGATTAGTTCTGAGTCAGTCATTTTCCATCGTTTCGGAACCTATCCTTGCAAATCGAAAATTATAAAAGATATCGCAAAAGAAGAGGCATGTACAATAAACGACAACGATTTTTTTCTAAACGGCGCAAGGGGAGTGTGGAACTGGCCAATCAGCCGGCAGCGTGGCTTTGTCGCTTACTGTACACAAGTATATAAAAAATATATTGCCTTTTATAATTTTCGATTTGCAAGGATAGGTTCCGAAACGATGGAAAATGACCGACTCAGAACTAATCAGAATCGAAGATTTCAAAGATTTGGAAACGCCCCAAACCTAGCCTAACCATTTTAGCTTCGTTTTAGTTCCTTCCCGAATATGTTCTCCGAGTATATATGTAATAATGTAATGTTTTTTACTTTATTTATAACAAACAGAAAACGTATTTATTATACGTAATTGAGAAATTTATATTATACGTTTGATAGAACGTTTATTATACATTTGATAAAAGATAATAGAATTTGTAAAAAGGTCTGTAGTTGCTAAACAATGACGATTATACATATTTATTTTCCAAGTAAATGAGATTGTTCAAATTAGTGTATTGTATCTGATTATTACATTTTGTCATTTGTTGTAAATAAAGTAAAAAATAATTACATTAATTGCATATATACTCGGAGAACATATTCGGGAAAGAAGTAAAACGAAGCTAAAATAGTTGTGTTTGGGGCGTTTCCAAATCTTTGAAATCTTCGATTCTGTGTGATTAGTTGTGTACAGTAAGCGACAAAACCACGCTGTCGGCTGGTTGGCCAGTTCTACACTCCCTTTGCGCCGCTTAGAAAAAAATCGTTGTTGTTTATTGTACATGCCTCTTCTTTTGCGGTATCTTTTATAATTTTCGATTTGCAAGGATAGGTTCCGAAACGATGGAAAATGACCGACTCAGAACTAATCAGAATCGAAGATTTCAAAGATTTGGAAACGCCCCAAACCTAGCCTAACCATTTTAGCTTCGTTTTAGTTCCTTTTCGAATATATTCTCCGAATATATATGTAATAATGTAATGTTTTTTACTTTATTTATAACAAACAGAAAACGTATTTATTGTACGTAATTGAGAAATTTATATTATACGTTTGATAGAACGTTTATTATACATTTGATAAAAGATAATAGAATTTGTAAAAAGGTCTGTAGTTGCTAAACAATGACGATTATACATATTTATTTTCCAAGTAAATGAGATTGTTCAAATTAGTGTATTGTATCTGATTATTACATTTTGCTATTTGTTGTAAATAAAGTAAAAAACAATTACATTAATTGCATATATACTCGGAGAACATATTCGGGAAAGAAGTGAAACGAAGCTAAAATAGTTATGTTTGGGGCGTTTCCAAATCTTTGAAATCTTCGATTTTGATTAGTTCCGAATTGGTCATTTTTCATCGTTTTAGAACCTATCCTTGCAAATCGAAAATTATAAAAGTTACAATAGTACAGTTGAATAGTACATTCCTCCATTTTCGTATTTTTTGTTTGATTATCCGAAAACGTAAATGGAAAATTTAAAACAGAGGATGTCTTATAAATTATTTTTTTTTGTATCCTGATCTTTCGATTTATTGTCGCTTTTGCTGTTTTTGGTTTTAATATTGGTCTGGAATAATTTCTCAAGTTTGAATCTGAGTTTTATCAAGAGTCATGGAATCATGAAGTCGTTTTCGAATTTTTTTTAAGGTCAGAGGTTTGTGTCTTAAATAATTTTGTTTATTTTTAAATTGAAAAAATTATAAACTATAGTTAAAAGTTCCTAAATACATGTACCAAGTAATAGCAATAACAAATTTTGTAGTTTTTTTAAAGAATTCCCAAAATAGACTTTAATAAAAATACGTTTAACATGAGAATATCCCCTTTTATCAAATGTATAATATAATATATTATATAATATATAATATATTATATAATTATATAATTATATTATATAATTATATTATATAATATATATAATATAATATATTTTAAAGGTAGTAATTTTGATCTCGAGGCATCTTGGAAGGAAACAGAAAATTTGGAGACATTGTTGAGAGAAGATTCGATCGTACAATCAATATCAAACAATCACCACTGAAATCTATAGCCAAGTTTAGGTGCATTGCTTGATAAACAGTCATTATATGTCTCAAACCGATTTAAGACCATCCTTCTGTAAAAACAACCGATCTCATACATCTGCAATCGTGAATTCTAATCGACTTGGATTAGGAAATTCCTGCATCCTGTCTATTCCCCAGATGAGGCTTTCAGATTATTATCTATTTTGATCTATTTTGATGTAGCACGGTTTGAAAGGACAACGCTTTCAAAATGTGACCTAAAAATAGATTAAAATAGATTGAAAAATTCTTTTCAATCAAAGAGCCAGCTTTTTATCATGGAATTCAACTTTTGCTTGAAAGATAGCAGAAGATAGAGTCATATGACAATTATTTTAATTGAAAAAAATGTTATAATCATTTTTCTTAATATATATTTTTCACGAAAAAGCTTAAATTATTTTTTCTCCAGCCTAATACTACTTCTTCATTTATTTCATCAACATGAATATTTCTTGCAGATAAAATACCATTATTAGCAAAAACATTATATTGTTTATATGTTATAATATCTTTATACATATCTTTTACTATATTAAAATTAATATTTGTTATATATTTTTCCAGAATTAGAATACTATTTGATTATTTAAAATATCGTTATTTTAATTTAATAAAGTTTGTGCATTCTCTTTTTTTGTGATAAAGTTCTTATATTTTTTATTAATGAAAATATTGTAAACTATTTTTATAAAACACCTCTCTTTTAACATAAAATAAATTTTATTGATAAATTTATACTTTCATTATGTGTAACTCTTTTTCTAAATATATTTTAAATATATTAAATTAACAAAATTCGCAAATAAATGTCACTGTATTATGATTATTATTCCGATGTAACCGATATAACTGAAATAACATCAAACTATCATCTTACTGAATTCAATATTATTCACATTGCCAATTAAACAAAAAATATAATTAATTATTATAATAATAATATAATATACTTTTAATTACAGTAATTATTTTTATTAAATATTTGCTTCGTAATTCTTTTCTTTGGAAATATATTTTGCATTTTGAAAGTATTCTTTACATTTGGAAGTATGCTTTGCTTCTGGCATCTTTTCAGATTTATAATGTATCTAAGCATCTTTCAATTTAATAAAAGTTTAATAGTAATAAAAGTCTATTTATTTAATAGAAATTTAATAGTAATATATGTAAAATGTACGATATATTAATATGCTAACGGGGAGATCTAATTTATTCATAATTTAATCGTCAAAGAATACAATAAAGGCGCGCTAATGTCTGCTAAGCTAAGTCTAAAGTATATCGATAATATTATCTATTAAGAGAAAGAGAGAGAGAGAGAGATCTTTTTAATCTAAATATATATAAACTTAACACACATATTAGTAATCAAAATAACCGATATCGGAAAAAATAACATCAGATTAAATTCCAATATCTAATATTATACATTTTCTTACTCTATGCATGTAAATGAATAAAAATAGAATTATATTGTACTAGATATATAAGAAAATTAAAATAAGATTATATATAATTTTAGAAGAGAATGTTTAATATAAAATAAAGTATTTCTATATATATATATATATATATATATATATATATATATATATATAAAGAATATCTGTAAACATCCGGTATTATATTTAAATGATAATTTTGATATATCCGTTATATGTATATACAACTTACTTTAAATATATAAATAAATTTATTTAAATATTCTATCTATCTATTTATCTATCTATATTTGTATATCTATAAATATCTCCAAATATCTTTACAGAAGCTGTCATTCGCACGCTATCTAGCCGTAACAGACGCATTTGATGCCGTCGTAAAATCGACGGGTAAATATTATAACGGCATCATACTCGTAACCGACTGTTGGGAGAGAAGAGGAAAGAGACTCCGCGCGGATCCTTATCCTCTCAGAGAGCGGAGAGAAATTGGCGATTTAACACACATTGATCTGTCGTGTTGGCGAATGCGCACTGCGAGGTGCCGCGCCGCGCCGCTCCGGCAACAGAGATTTCAGCGTGTCACCCCGTATAAAACCGTGACCGGGGTCACGGCGCGATACCAACAGGTGATGCCGAGGAAGGAGGAGGACACTCCCTCGAGCAGCATCTCGTCGAGCGTCTTTCCCCCGGGTATCGCCGACCGCGACGATGGTGATTTAGTATTGTTCTCTCGAGCGTACCATTTATCCTGTACCCCACAAATTTCGCTGACCACCGCCAGAATCCATCTACGAGGGCTGCCAGGAATAAACGCGCGAGGACGGTCCTGTTTGGCGCGCATCAGTGGAACACGGGAGGAAATCGGGTGTTGGAAAAAACAGTGTCGGTGAAAGACAAAAGCGAAAAAAGTTTCGATCGATTCGATAATTTAGTGGATGAGACTATTTAATAGTACTCCTCGCGATTCTTCCCGCGCGTTCGTTTCACTCGCGAAAGCATCAGAGTCGGGATGCAAAGTTAATCAGTTGACATGAGCGCGGGATCGACTCGCGACGTACGATGATCGAGTGTTTTCTTCAATGCGCTGGATTTTGACAAGGTGAGCAATTTTCAAATCTCTAGCGGCAATCTTGAAATATGCGTACAATGCAACAATAGAGAGCTACGCGATGCCACAATAGCTGGATCGATAAATCTTCGCAATCTTTATGATACTCCAACTCCAACTCGTTCTCAACCGATTCAGTTATTAAAAATTTCGCGAAAAAGTTACTTAAACTTAAAAATCTGAACCAAATATTTTAATTCATTCTATTGTATAGTATAAACATTTATCAGAAAATAAGGAATCATATCAGTAAATAAGGAAGGGATTTTTGAAGAAATCTTATAATAACTTAGAAAAGTATTTTTAGATAAATCTTATAATAATTTAGAAAAATATTTGTAAGAGAAAAAAAATTCTCTCACGGAGAAAATTTTCTCTGTGAAGATACAAAATATGAATATAATGAGAGGATTATGAAAACAGACGACGCAGATATAAAATAGCGCAATAACAAAATATAAAGAATTACCTTATCTTGGAAATATTTCATTGATAACAATATATTAAAATGTTTTATGGAAAAATATATATAAAAGAATTAAAAAAGTACATTATTAGAGAGATAGAATATTTCAACGGACTACATTTGACTTTATATACGGACATCTTATAACTGACATCTTCACTTTATATGTATATTGAATCATTGATTTCCTCTTGTCGCTTCAGAATCCGATTGCCCCTGATTTATATTCACATTTAATAATAACTGAATCCCGATTTCAGTGCAACTTTTCTTTTCGGTTCGGTGGCCTCGATAAAGCTATCGTATATAACTCGAGATATTCTAGAGATTAATCGATCAGTTTCTCTTCGACGTGCTTACATATCTAACAGGTAAAGACGCACAAAAATATCGTAACTTTAAATGAGTGTGAATCGATATAAAATGCAATAAATTAAGTATGATATATACCAATGACTCGCTATGAATTATAAATTCTACTACTATCTAAGAAAAACCATTTTGTAGAAAACGATTTATGAAGATCGCATTATGTAGTCAGTCACAATGTTACATGAAACAATTTATATCACTGTCTGAAAAGAGAAAGCGTCATGTCTTTAGAAGTTGACAGTTTAATTATATCGGGGAAAATAATGAAAGGAAAATGACGAGGCGAGAGGCATGACACGAATACCAATCGCTCTGAATATCATGTTTTTTTAGTTTTCTGCCCTCCCCGCTGTGCGTACGTAACACGTGTTGGAATAAAAATAAAACCACGTCGATGCTTTTGATTCGATGTTGAAAATTTTCAAGTTTATCGAGCCATCCTATTAATTAGTGTTACATTAGAGCGGAAACAGTCGGCTTGTTAATCTCTCGAAGGAGCTTTGGATCGCGTATCTGAGTCATCGATGAAGAAGGAAGCCAAAGGTACACGATAATTAATTGTCGAGCTCGTTCTTTGAAGATAAAACACGGAATACGAAACGGGATGTTGTGATAATGGAGAAAAGCAGAAAAAAAGAAAAAAAGATCAAATATGCAATGCGCATGTAATTTAAATAATATTTTAAATAACTTTTCTCTCTCTCTCTCTCTCTCTCTCTCTCTCTCTCTCTCTCTCTCTCTCTCTCTCTCTCTGCAAATGTTTTGAATACGCCCACTCATCTAGAAAAGCAAAATGTGATGCACATAAATAGCAAAGAGATATCTTGATGTACTATTCCGGAGCATAATATATAAAGGGTATATAGAGTACACACATGTATGAAAATGACAAAATGAATGATGAATACTCGTGCGCGACTGTGCGAGAGGACTCTTTGCATCAAGAAGATTACGTTACGAAGAGTAATTAAAAATGCAAATTCAAATGGCAAAGTAATAGCGACCCGTTAAATCTCTCGCTTATGCGTATACTTTTATATTCTCTGAGGCAATACTAGCAAAATTTAAATGACATAATAATTAGATATAAACTCTCTATGCACTCTCTTTTTTGTTAAATATTAATTTCTTTTACGCAAATCTGGGTTGATAATATTGACCGTGACAAAAAATTTACTAGCATCAATTACGAAAGCACTTAATTTTTCAATCAATTCTATAAATAAATTTTATTTTAATATAAATATCACATCTGAAACTCCCTTTATTATGTATGGCAAAAAATATCCGACATTGATTACATCGATATCCGTAACGGCGTAGGTCGTATTAGAAGCTTTTTCATCCCATTCTTTTCGTGAACACTCGTTTACCTGGTTTGCTTCAACATACTTCAAAGGATTAAATATAGATCGCGACCTCTCCATATATGATATTTGAGCGATATTAAGAAATAACGATGTAAGACTCGATTATACCGAATGCATTTATTAAAATTCATAAAAATGTTAGGAAAGCAATTTCTTGCGTCATCTGTATGCAATAATTAATTAATATTTATTTTCAAAAATCTTGTGTGATATATTGGAAACATAATTAACCATAATATAATTTAAAAAAAAATGTCTCGAAAAAATATTGTTCATAGAATATTGGCGTTTGCGGAAACTCTTTTTGCGCGCGCGTTATAGATGATTTTAGAAGCCAGAGTAACATCAAAAGAGTCATTATAAAATCATTATGAGTTCAACAGGGATCTCGCGTAGCAATGGTCTGGAGAATTATTGAAAAACTCACGGAAACCCGATATTTTCTCGCGATACATTATTTAAACAAGCCATATCCGATAGATCGAAAATCGGGCTTTAATTGAACAAGGAAGAACATATGGCGTATAACGAAAGGTCGTGGTTATGTAAATGGAACTGGCCGAGTCGGTCGTTATGGTAACCGACCCTCTGCACAAGGATCGAAATCCATTATTTATCTCGGTAACATAGCGCTCGGTTTCGTGACGAGCGCAAGAGAGAGGTGTCGGATGTTAATAATCCAGTTAGATAGAAAATAAACATAACACTGCTGAAATTTTGGATAATTCGATCAGAGACAAGCTCTCATAAAAAAACATTGGCTGTAAATTATATTTTCTCATTTTAATACAAATGGTTTATATGTGATATGTATTACTTATGTATGTAAAAGTAAAAGAAAAATAACAAATTTAATTTTGTCCACATAAGGAGTGCTTGAGAGTTTAAATTAGAGCTTTAAAGGTAATCCTAAGTTTATTGCATTAAATATGTATGCCTATAATTAAAGTTTTTAATTTCACTAAAATGCGAATAAAATGCGAAAAATCTTGACCAACTTATAAAAATAAAAATTGTAAGTGTATAAATTGAAAAAAAAAATATATATAGAAATAATTATATAAGATATATATGATATATCACTATAGTCGTATATTTTAATGAATAAGGATCCAATTCTTACTTAATAAAAATTTAATAGAAGACTATTTGTTAGTTTTATAATCAGGTGTAATAAACAAATATATTGATATCAAATATCAAATTTAATTGCTATTAAAATATAGTCAAAATTAATTGCAAGCGCAAGTTATAGTTATTTATAATATATAGTTTGAAAATTTAATTTTTTCAAATCTTCTCATTCTCAATCGCCTGAAAGAAAATCGATGAAACTCTCAATGAAAAACCTTCTTTCAAGTTTAAACTTTACTACCTGTATCTGAAAGGTCGCGTGATAGACGAGCTGGGTTATATATATATACCCAGTATTTATATAATTTTCGCAAAAAAAACTTTAATTGAATAAATATATATCATACAATAAATCTCATCAACAAATTTAATTTAAAATATATCAAAATATGAAATGCAATTTTTTTATAAAAATTTATTGTGTTTACAAAAAATGATGTGATATTTTTAAACAAAGAGATTTTCAATATCAATTCTATCAAGATTTCCGATAGCAAGTGCTGTATGGTAATATTTTGCATACATTAATCTAACATAAATCAATCCAATTAAAAATCTTGAACCAATGTAGCGCAGAATATTCTCCTAAATTGAATACGCTGTGCGGAATGAACTGTGAAAAGCAATCCAATGGAAAGCAGTTTCTTGAAAACTCGTCGGATCGAATCATTCTAAAATAGCCGAGCCGAGTTCGTGCAATTTAAGTAGAGTTGTGCGCATGTTGTCGTAAATAGACAAGTAAAAGCGATTACGAATTATATTATCAAATCGTGCGTATTACTTGTATACCAGCATGAAATTTTATGGTAACGTGAATAACGATACGCACATTTCTACCATTAAAATACATCATTGATGCATGATACACAAATGCTTGATCGTCTTAATTATTTCAGTTAATTAGATTATGATTATGATTAGATAAAAATTCTTTTTTTACGTGTAATACAAGCTACGTTTTCATAAGTATTTTTTGCAAGAGATTTTGAAAGAGACAAATTACTTCAACTCGCGGATATATAAATTTCTGAGCGCGTTCTCTTATATACGAACGAATTATATACGATTAATTATATACGTTCTCTTATATACGAACGAATTATATATAAAAATAAAGTTTACAAGGGAAGCTCGCAAACTCGGAAATCCTGATTTTGATGAAATTTACACACATGTGGGAGGAGTAAATAGATAAATTTAGAAATTTTTAATTACTGTTCAAACAACGATTCTGAGGGGTGAAGCCACCCCTAAAATGAAGAGGAATTTTTTACTTCTCTTAATTTATTTTAAAAATTATTCGAGACATCGAAAGGTACACAAAAATTTCATGATTAAAACATCTCTATTTAACTATGTTTATAAAATTTTGAAAAGTTTTTTCAAATTTTTTTTTTAATTTTATTATAATTAAGTGGAGATGATTTGATTGTGAAACTTTCGTGTAAAACATTTTTAGATATTTCGAATAATTTTCAAGAAAAGTCATATATGAAGGATGATTTCATTCCTTGGATTCCATCGTTTTTGGATAACAACTACAAATTTCTGAATTTATCTACATTCTCCCTACATGTGTGTAAAGTTTCATCAAAATCAGAACTTCTGGTTTCACGGAGTTTCCTTGTCAGATATACAGGGTGCTTCAAATAAAATAATCGACGTAAATATTTGCTAAAGTTGAAGATACATAAAAAAATATTTTATATAAAAAAAATGACACGAAAGAAGATATCGTACGATTAATTATTATATTAATAATTTTGCAATAAATAATAAATTAATTTTTTATTAATTTCCTAATAAATTTTACAATAAATAATAAATTAATTTTTTTGTAATTGTAGTTTTATACGTGTGCCAAGAAAAAGGAAAAGTTCTTAAAAACACAGACATAAACTAATTCGGCATCAGCAGATCTGTATAGTCGAAAAAGAAGGGATTCTTGCTACTAAGAATCTGGTAAGCGTAAATGGCCAACTTTCGAGGCGCAAAGAAGAGGATTGCAACTACAACTATAAAGAGGGATTTGAATCGATAGGAAGCGCGCGAAGTTTCGACGAAATGCGGGAGACACAGGCATACGAACAATGCACTTCTGCTGCATCCGCCGTATACGAGAGCGAGATGCACACCGATGATGGTAGTCAGATAATAACTCTCACGTATATATTGTGTGCGGCGTTCGAGTGACGTATGCGTAACCAGATGACAAGACAATGTGCAAGTGTGTCGATGTGTGTTAGAAAGCACTATTCGGTGCTCGTATGCATGTACGTCAAATTAAAACTCCGACATGGAACGACGTCACGAACACATAAAAAATCGCGCGCATAATACCACGAGATGAATTCGGGATTCCTAATTAACGGACTCGCGACAAAATTTATTACGTTGCAAAATGAAAACGCTGCTTTAAATAAAACTATATACGAGAAGCAAAGATTAAAGTAGAGTTAAAAATATCACTTTTCAATCTTCGACTCTTTCATTTACTTAGCTCTATTAGAGAAATAGTATCCAATTTTTTTAACTTGTTTCTTCTTTAACAATTAACTTCTCTGTCTTTCTCTTTAATATTTAATATTTAATAATTAATTTAATTATTTAATATTTAATATTTAATAATCATCTTTTGCAGAACTTGGGATCGTATGTTTCTGAGACACAAGAATCTGGAAAACGTGAGGGTAAGCGATTTAATGTGTATACATAAATTTTTTTTTATTATATTGTTATAAAAAAAAATCCGCTTTTATAAATACAGGATGCCACAAGGAAGCATTCAATGGCAGGGGACGCAGAGAAGAGCCTGCGGGCCTGGGGCTAATTGGAATGTACAGGTACACTCTCATCATTTTTGTAAACTTGAGGTCGATATTGAGTGCAGTGTATATGTCTCATATCGGAAAGATAAGATTCTTTATCGGCTTCATTAGTATAATTATTAGGAAGCAGATCGGTCGATTGCTTAAATTAAATTAGCCATAGAGAGAAAAAGGAAGAAAATCAAAGTGTACATATGTAGAGAGCATGTACATATCTCGTAGGAACATATCTCTACTCTAATCATCATTTTTAGCACGAATTTTGCTTGTAGAAGATATTTTCGATAGAAAATTTGCTTCGAGAGAGAAATATACGCCAATCTTATACAAACACAAACGCACAAATTACAAAATATTTCACTATTGCTGCCAAGAATTACTATCGCTCTCTGCTAATAATATTTACCTATATGATAATTTTTATGTAAATGCAAAACTATTTCTAATACGCTCGTAGAAAAAAAGTTTTTATAATTTCTTTAATCAAAATCTACGATTATATAAATTAATTATCTTAGTACTATATATCTATCTTTCATTATGCAGTGATTTATATCATGTAAATGACTGCATTAAATTATATATATATATCGCTCATGATTAGCAGCACCGAGAAGTGTTACTATGCCATTACACCTAAATGTTACATCCTAAATCATAGTAATTGATTTATCGATTTACCATATAAACGCACTCGTACATCTGTTTGTGCCGCTGCGGCTGGTAAACAACTGGACTACCATCCAGATTATTAACAGTTATAATGGCGGTTATGTTATAATTAAATCAAACAGGTGGTGAGAGGCAAGGTGACAACGCGGTGCTTGTGGCACGCCTGTAAAGCTCTCGGAATTGGGCTACTGCTAATGCTTTTAGGAGCTTGCATGGCGACTATAGGTGAGTAGAATTACATAAATTCAACATCAGTTTTCATATACGATTCGATCATACGCCATTTTGTCTTAATCTCTAAGCTACTATCTGCTTCGAGGCAAAGAGAGTGTTTTATTATCGTAAGATTAACCTTTTGTGGTCTAGTTATTGTCACTTTTAATGCCACAGATTTGAGATTAGTAGAGTATTCTTCACAATGATTGAAAACTAAATAGAAAATATTTTAATATATATTCTAATATATTTATATATTAATATATTATAATATTAATATATATTCTAATATATTTATATTTATATATATACTTCTAATATCTATAAATTTATAATTAAATATTGTAATATTTAGGATAGACCGCAAATAACTAATCTTTTTCTTTATTATGCGTAAGCTTGCAGAGACTGCTTACTACATTTATATGCATGAATCGAGAAAATTTAAATTAGATTGATACTACTTTTTAACAACAATTACACACATTATATAACACAGCGTTATATAGCCAATATTTTTGAATATCCAAATATTGAATTGTTGCCACATCTGATTTTTTAATTGAGGGTGTTTCGAAATTATTAATATTAGACTGTAGATATTAAGATTATTGTAGGAAGTTTGACTCTGCTTCCTTTTCTTGTTAATTGAATATCAAAATATCTTTCGATATATATTATATATGAAAAAATTTCGTTTTTAACCAATTTTTCTTTATACTGCAAGTAGAATAAATGCGACATAAAAGAAGGCAAAGTTAACTGAAAAATATTATTTATCTTAATATATGGTAATACTTTTTGATATATCGAAACAGAAGAATCTATTTATTGTTAGCGTTTTATAGAAATATTACGTGACATTTTATATATATATATATATATATATATATATATATACATATATATATATCCCAATAATATTTAAATCGATATATCAAGATATATTTTTATATTTTAATTCTATCTGATATATCCCGCCCCATTCAATAATTGCACATATATATATATATATATATATATATATATATATAACATGAAATAAGAGCGTTTCTCTCGTTTAATTAAATAGGATATTATGCAGATCAACTGTCAGTGGCGCAGGAGATCAGAGGTAACATCACGATAAAAGTAAAGAATGAATCTCGCGGATTTCATCTGAATAATCTGAGCTACGCCGGTCCAGTCGTTATGGGCTTGGGAGGTAACAATAATATACATTGCATACATAAAATTTACGAGCACAATACACTTGTTCGATTGAGCAACTACTAATTATATGACACTGATCTTTTTGAAATAATACAACAGTGCAATAATAAATGGATACACTGTCCCAGAATGTATATAAACATTTTCCACGAGTAGACGTGATGCACAACATATAATTGCATGTAATATTACGTAATATATAACATATGTATTAATGTTATTGGTATTATTACTTTGATGTAATAACATTATGAGAGAAAAATTATATTAAAATTGAAATGCTCTCAATTTTTTATACTCTTCAAAACAGGACTCCTCAAAATAAAAAAAATTAATACATATATTTTTTTAAATAAAAATCAAGACAATTTTGCGCTACAATTTTCCGTAATTTAATATTAGTTTATTAAAATTAATATATATATATATATATATATATATATATATATGTAATACATATGTCATACTTGGTATTTTTTTTATTTTATGTGTGTTAGAAATATATTATTTAATTTTTTATAATATATAATCTTTTATAAATAACATCTTTATTATATATACTAATGTGTTTCTCTCGCTATAATTCTACAGAATAAAATTACAATTCTATACATTATGTATTAATTTTGCATCAAAGTACCAAGATCGAAAAACGACAATAAGTAAAAACATCGAACAATATAACGTATGTAGAGCAGATATGATATATAGAGTGTATATAGAGTGGAAAATTGCAGATGAAACGCGAAAAAAATGTGCAATATATTGTGATATCACGGTCAAATAAAAATATTCGATAGAAACGAGAAAAAAAATAGATGCCCCCAGAGAGATTTGAACTCTCGACCCCTGGTTTACAAGACCAGTGCTCTAACCCCTGAGCTATGGAGGCTCACGTTCCAGACTTAGTTATTAGAAACTTTAGATAAACGCGTGACATATAGATCTGTACATATATAATTTGTACATATATGTACGAATACATTTTATTTTTATATTTTTATATTAAAAAAAAAATATTTTTAGAATATTTTATAATTTTTCTAATTTATGCATGCAAGCAAAGTCGTTTTTTTATTATCTCAAATAATAAATAATAACATAATTATTGTGTATAAAAAATTATTATTATCTCATACATAATAATAATTATGCAATTATTGGATAAAATAATCATTATGCAATTATTGAATTAATCAAATTATATATATTACAGAAACAATCGCGATAAAATAAAATTTCATTTTTTATTCGAAATTTCGTTTTTGATTATTATTATATGTTATTCCATATTAAATTTTTGTCTTATTTTATTTTGTATTATTATATTGACATCAACAAATTGTTCAATTATATAAAATTTGTTTTCAAATTTGCGTTGACTTACCATTAAATTGTATATTTAATTATTAATAGTGTAATTATTAATTAATTAATTATATATTATTAATTGTTTAATAGCATAATTATTAACAATAGTATATTAAAAATTAATTAATAGTATAATTATTAAAATCTAAAATCTGATGATATACGTTTATGTAACTTATGTGTAAAATTTATATAATTATATTCTGTCATACTCATATCACAAATGAATAACGATGTATACAGGCTTCATCGTAGTAGCTGCCTGTGTGATGACTTTCGAAGCACGTGACAGTGCGGCTAAGGTGGTACCAGCTCGCTATCGCTTCAATCAAGCGTCAACGTTAAAAGGCCCAAAAAGCCAGCGCAATAGGAGATCGACATCAAGCCAGACAACAAAATGGGATCATCAGTTGGGCCTGTTTAGAGTAAATCGCAGCCCGAGTCCCAGCACGCATGAAGTTTCCAGGAAACAGTTAACAGCGGAATTCATGCAATTTTCGAAAGATTTACGGGAGAAAGGCGTAGCGCACTCCATAAAGAAAAGCCCGAGCGCGCCAACATTAGTCGACAAAAAATCACCACGTCGAAGGTCGCCTAAATATGCAGGCTGCTCACTATTGAATCCAGAATTGCTGCAGAGACACGCTCTTTCGGTTGACAATCCGAGCTATAGCCCGCATCAGGTGTGTATTCAGCATAAATTAATAAATTTCAAAATCTATGTTTTGAAAGATAATAATAAAGCCTCAATTTTTAGGGAAGCTTATAAGCTTTATCTTGTCAAGTTTTTTTTTTCATATCGTAGAAATTAATAATTTAATTATATTAATTATATCACTTTATGTTAATTATTTAATTATATAATTTATATCACTTTCATGAAACTTAAAAGAAAAGGGGATTTTTAACTACAAATTATGCCATTTTAAATCATAAAATTCTCAAAAGAGAAGGAAAAAGAGTTTGAAATATAAATTTCGACAAATTTTAATTATTCTCTTTTACTTCAGTGTTTCTTTCTCAGATTTCAATTGAAAATAGCCAATAGAAACTTATTCCGATAATTAATAGGTTAGCAGAGAGAGTCTGGAACATCAAAAGATGAGTGGTAGTCAAGTCTCGATGGCGATGGATCTGCATATTCCAAATAAAGGTCCTGTTACGCTCAAAGTGAAAGACCGATCCGATACGGCAAGACGACATCAGCTACTTCGTCAGACAAAAGTGGAGGATGTCGAGGAAGTGGACGAAGCTGCACGACCACCACCGACCCTCGTACATTCGCCTAAATTGCCAGGTGAATATAAATAAATTATTTTAAATATATGATGGCTCTCGGATATCGTTATTGTAATCACATCACTAGCAGAAATACTCCAAATAAGAAAATATCTTTGCTATTGTTATTCAGTTTAAGAATTATAAAGAAATCTCTCTCAAATTCATTCCTTTTATATAAAATACAAAAATACATATTAAACTTTATTCAATTGAATTTTAAGTCTGATTTCTTACATTTATAAATTAGGAAAATTATTTTTCACTTAAATAAAATTGTTTACATTAAAAAGGTCTATAAATAAAGATTAATAATTATAGATATTTCACTCAGGTGCCTATAGATATCCAGATGATTTTGTGCCAAGAAAAAGAAATTCGATAGACTTGAAATTATTAGAAGAATTGACGGCAGTATCAAGAGAACTTAGTAAGGCCTCACCGCGAGACTTCCGGAAAATCTCGTCGCCGAACTTCCGTAAAATGTCCTTCGATAGAATCGGCGGTGATCGTCGCTTCGATCGAACTTCGCTAGGATACCGTAAGGCTAGTCTCGAGTTTAGAAAAAGTCCTGATTTTCGCAGAGGAGACTACAGGTAATCGAGAATTTTATATCATTTTTTACAATAATAATTACTTTATTATTTGCTTTTCCAATAATTCGCATATATCGCTTGCAATTATATATTCTGCTATTATTTTCTGATTTGAATTTGTTGTGACACTCTATAAGTTATAATAAAATAATATATTTAATAAGTTATAATAAAAATATATTTAAATTAAAAATAAATTATTTGCAAGTATACTTTTTAAGATTGCATTCGATACGAAGCTTTAAATCGCAGCTTGCTTAGCTTATATATAAATCTGATCTCTCCTGTATACATTGCAAAAATAAAATATAATCTACACAAAGATGTCTAATTACATTCAAATGTTTATCAAAGCGAGCGACAAAGTCCTTTTTCTAATTAAATTTATAGGAAACTCTCAGTAGAAAGATTCAGCGTCGATTGTACCCGTTATATGCTCGACGAAACGGAAATGACTCCACGCACGAGCAGTGGAGAGAACTTGCGAAGACAATCGCGTCATCCTAAGCTGCATCATTCCAGATCGGATGACAATAGAAGACGATCTTTCGATAAGCATTCGAAAGATTCTCAGTCGAGTCGACACTCGTTAAACACTCAAGCTGTTGTAGAAGGTTCCGATTGCGATCCAAAGTACTTTACGATGGTGTCCCTCGATACTGAAGAAAGCCATGCCGACAATTCTGACGAGAGTCACGTAGTAGACATCGAGGAAGCGAATGCAGGCGCTTTATCGTCATGCGACGTACCTACAGAGGCTGACATGCTACTCGAAGAACCGGAACTGGAAAACGTTACGGAGATCGACATAGAAAATTCAATAGATGATGAGGAAAAATCTCACGAATCGCATAGATCGATGAGTCAGAGGACAAATACGATGTTACGAGGGCAAAATCCCATAATAATTGCCGAAGATGTAGACTCGCAAATGATAGTTGATGAGAAAATGGTGCAGATCGATAGCGAAAAATGTGAAATGACTTTGTATATAGAAGACGATGAAATATGAAGAGAAAATAGAAAAAATCCTTGAGGATTACGGATTCAGATCATCGTGAGAAAATAATGATGATTTGCGAAGCAAAGATACTGATGTTGCATGCAACATTGCTGACGATATTTCTTCGCAAATTGAAAAGGATTATACAAGGGTTTAGCGGATCGTCAATCGATCGTCTTTGATTGCAATTATGCTCAACAACTTAAGATTTAAACGGCATATATAAATAATAATGAGTCACGTACGAATTGCGTTTTGTAACGAGACAATCATTTTTTATCGGCATCTCGCATTACCTTTCGCACGAAGGTAACAAGCGTGTAATATTGATGACAAATAATTGTTACCAACAAATTTTGACGTAGCACATAGATGGTAATTGATCTATACATATACATATATATAAAATAAGATTTGTTGAAATATAAACGTGATTAATCATACCGAAGAGATTTTTGTACTTGTAACAGGAAAAATATACAACTTTTACTTGTAAATATTTCAAACTAACTTGTTCGAGCGATCATTGATGTGTCAACTTAATGAGAAAATCAGAGAAATATGTAGCATGATTCAAAATGAATCTTGAACAATCGGAATGTACTTTATAAATACAGATTATCACAGATACGACACTTGTTCTCAGCTCTAAATATTGCAATAAGAAGGGAAAAAATGCCATGTTTTAATGTGAAAAAAAAATTAAATAACAATTTAATTTTGTAAAAAAAGTACAAGTAAATAAGAAAATGTTATTTATTATAGATTTTTAAGTACGTTTTATTTTTTAATTGAATCGATTTTAATTTATTACAAATCTACCAAGGCATTTATGTAAAATAGTGTATAAAATATATAGAAACCTGCATATTCATAATAATAATAATATTCATAATAATAAATATTTGTGCAAAGTTTAGTTTTAAAAAAATTCTTGTAAAGAATATATTAACCAGTTATATTTGTACGTACGTTGTTTTACGTAAGATATAAGAAGACTGTATACGTTTACTTATATGCAATACTAAGTATAATTTTTCTTATACAAAAAAATTACTACGATTTTTTTAACGTGAATATATTTGAACTGAAAGGCATTTTTAAAAAAAGGTTATGAATCCCAATAAAATATATATTAGATAATGGAAAGATAAATTAAAGATATTTTTGATGTCAATATTATACATTATCTTTTCTCTAATTATTGTTGCGTTTTTAATAGAATACTTTGAGTAAAAAATACATTTCTCTTTTATGCAAACAAAGCATGGACTAATTTCTAAAATGTGAAATATTCTTGAAAAAAATGTAAAATATTCTAGAAAGAAAAATTCTAGAAAGAAAAAATAGAAAAATCTTTTTTTGCATATTTACATATCTAATAAAATTTCTTCTCTTATACACATGTGAATTATATTCATGTTTTATTAAATTTTGAGTTTTGCAAGTACTTTTCGCAAATTGGATTTTCGCAGAATTTTATTTTCAAATCATTATCAAGAGATGTTATTGTAAAGAATAAATATTAGAAATAGCTCATATTTAATGTGTTATTAAAAATTGAAAATTTCAATGACGCGCGCGCGCGAATGTATCTTTGAAATACAGATAATCTTTAAATTAATATGGATCTATGAATATAATGACATCATCAAAAGTATCTTTAAATCTTTTCTTAAAGTCAATAAAGCACTTCTTAAAGCGAAACATATGTATGAAAACTGAACATTTATAGATCTCAGATTTCTTCCAATCTATTGTTAATGCGTTTGCACACGAAATTATGGCCTATTTCGTGCTCCTTCATCAAATGTAACGTGACGACATCATGTATAATATCATATATGCATTCAACAGATGCGATAAACTCAAAAATCTCTTGTTTGAGAGACTCACTCAATGAAAAGCAGAACACAAAGTTTTCAGCGAAGTGGGACATAGTTAAATAGTATCTAGTAACGTAGAACAATTGTTCTTGATTAAATGACGGCGCAGTCCCGCATATGTAATATATTTTTATAACCCAATAGCGAGAAATGTAATAACTCGACAAAAACTACAATCATTTTAATTTAAGCCTCCATTATCGAATACTTAATTGTCAGTAAACTTTTTCTACTTTCTGTCTTTACTAATCTCATGCAATAAAATCTCATTATTTCAAATACTATACTCGATAATTTTGATAAATATAGCTAAATAATCGCATTTTCAGTAAATATATGTTTTCATTTATTATCTTTCCATCTCTAAGTTAAACTCCATACTCTGATTTGCAAAAAATATGTTCTTGCATTTAAGAAATTTATTTATTTTGAGAAAAAAATACATAATTCAATGTCATACTATATAATGTCATACTATAATAATATGTCATACTATAATAATAATTATCTTCATTTCGATATGAACAGAATTATCTTTTAAGATTTTATATTTAATTACAAATCATCATTTATAATTTATTTTTTCTCTATCAATCGGATAAAACTTCTATACTCTTGCAAAATTCTCCAATTTTAATTTCAGATTTCTTTAACAAAGCTTCTTCTAAAAATTACATAAAAACATAGATATTATTTGCCAACACACATATTATTTAAAAATGAGGTTTTATAATATTCTACAAATTGCGAATATATTAAGAAATTGCAAATTGATTTCTAATTTTTCCAGAGATTTTTTTTTTATTAACAATTCAGCGCGCGAACAAAAGATTGTATTAGTAATATAAAAATACGGGCATGCTCGAAAGATCGACATTGCCTTTTTGTGTGAGCAAAATTGTTAAATAATAAAAAAATATCTCGAGAGACATCACGATGTCTCGATATCATATATATATATATATATATATATATATATATATATATATATATATATATATAAGTAAGAAATAGAGAAAGACAAAAAGAAATAAGAAAGATAATTAAGTAAGAAATTGATAAGAACACGAAAAAATCACAAGAAAAGAAACACTCCGAATAACTTTTTAATAAATGAGCGACGGCTAAAACTTTTTGGATGTTATTCGGGACAGAATCTTGACAATATAAGTCAATCAAGCCGTATTTCATTGTTCCATTAAACAGAATATTTACCAAAATATTTAATGTGAAATATTATGTAAAGTACTAAATTTTTTTAATTTTGTTGAACTTTTATTATTTTATAGTATTCAAAATTAAATCTTAACAGTTAAATCTGAAATTAAAATTTTTTAAAATAAACTTTTAATTGTCATGATAAGACTTTTTGTTTCAAATACATTTACAATTTAAATAAATTGGCAATATATCTGTTATTAAAATAAAAAATTATATGTTATATAAAAATTATTATGTTATATTTTTGAAATCATTTGTGTACGATCTAATATCTATTTAAATCTTAAATCCATTAATTAAAAAACGATTAATCTTTGCCGCTGGTTTTAAATATAAAAAAATAAAAGATGAGGTAATGAAAAATATGTAATTATTGCAATATATTGTTGATTAATAAATTAATAAATTCGATATCAATAAATATAAATATAGTAGTATTTCTCTTAAAATTGTCTGGTATTTTTTTACCAGAGATGTAACACAAATTAATCAGGTAATGTCTTTCATAATTTTCTAACTTCTTGTTGAAATGGCTTATATACTTATAAAAACAACAATTTTACATAATAAAATATTAAGTTGTATCAGCAGGTACTATTCTAAAGCAAATATAAATATAATAAAGTATATATCTCATACTTAATGGAATAAACATAATTGAACTGTGATCAAGATGTAATTTAATAAGAAGTACTATGAGTGATATTTCTTGCAAATGTACTCTGGTCAGTGCGATTCTATTTGAAATTGAAAAAATAAATAGACAAATGATAAAACAGAAATTGTCAAAATTAATAAAGATAAAAAATATTCTTAAAATAAGATAATATGCACTTTTCCTTGTGCATACGATCCAAAGTTAAATTTTTTAAACTTTATTATGTTAAAGAACTTTGATCAACGCAAATCTATTTAAAATTGAAGAAATAACTAGACAAATGATAAAATAGAAATTGTCAAAATTAATAAAAATGAAAGATATTCTTAAAATAAAATATAATATGTACTTTTCTTTGTTCATACGACGGACAAAAAAGTTAAATCTTTTAAACTTAATTATATTAAAGAAAAACTTTGTTAATAAATCTTACTGCCTAAGGCATTCCAAAGTGTATTAGCATTAACATTACGCAAATCTTTATAATCTAAGAAAAGATAATATTCTCCTTAATATTTTGATAACAATTTTCATATAAAAATAAAAGATTAATTTACGTGAACTTTTACATTGATAGTTTAATTAATACATTGACGAAAAGTATAAATGGTTTAAATAATTTTTGATGCGACATACAATCAAATACTACAATTATTTTAATTTTTTCGAAGAATTTAACGATTGCCCGCAGCAATATATCTTTTTAGAGTTTAAAATTTTGTACACAAAGTGCAACCAATGCATACAGTTATGATTCTCATATATAGTTCATGAACATAACATGTTGAAGCAGATAAACATCAGTGTAAAATTTTTAAGTCAATGTAATTCTTGCATGCTAATTGATGTAATAATATTAATAAAAAAACACTCTTAGACCAATAATAATTGCGTCTTTTTCAAATATACATATATGCATTTATTATTTACATGTCTCCCGAGAGTTTAATATTTATTATTATAATTTTGTCATAGATCAATGATCTCTTATAATCCTTTAATAAAGCATTTTTGTGCGTGCGTGCAAATATGGTTTCATTTTTAATTCATTAGGCGTCCTTTTTAACACGCTATATCAATCTGACTTCATATTGTTTAGATTTTATATGTATACATAAAACATTTTATATGGATTATATTTTTTTTATGTATGGGCAATTCAAGCTAACAATTTAAAAAGTAACAAAATTTATATTTGGATGTCTATTTATTTTAAACAATGAATGAAATTAACATTAAACGAACATATGGCACTACCTATGGAGAGTTACTATTACTAACGATATGGGAACCTTAAAATTGTCGGTAAAGAATTTATCCGTGGTCAATTTTTCACATGAAACACATGAAGCGATAAATCAATGTTTTACGCACGATATGCACCGAAAAATAAATCAGAATATAATAATTGCATAAAAAACAAACATGAGTCATCGTGAAAAAATCGTGTATAATTATATATATAATGTATGTTTAATTCTTCGCGAATTTTATAAAACACAATTACTAAACTTTAAAATTCAGTAGTTATATGTATTGCATCGTGATGATAAAGAATATATGTAAAATTTAGTTAGAATTAAATTAGAATTTTTTATTAGAATTTCTTTATTAGAATTTAATTAGAATTTAATATAGAACGGATAAAAAAGAGGAAAATGATATCATGCAAATTTTGTAAATTAATATCTGGCTAGCCAATTAAAACGTATAAAGCACACTCATATAATATCGAATGTACGATGAAACAAACAATTTGCTATAAACAGAAAGATCGCTGTTTAATTATTTTGAATTAAAAATTAATTTTTAATTTCTAATTCAAAAACTTTCATACTTAATATAACGAAAAGCATGAATATAACAATATAATCAAAGCACAATAGTTTTTTCGAAATCTTTGTTATCATTTTGAAGTAAATTTATTTATAATTTACGCGAAGCATTTGCATTAAATATAATTTTCTTTTTTTTTTTTGCAAGAAATGTAAAAATATATTATGCAAAATGTTTATAAAAAATGTTATGTTAGTACACACATGATTCTTCTTTTTAATTAAATTAAATTAATTCGTCATAAAGTTTACGAGAAGAGTATTAAAGTGAAACTTTTCTCGTGCAAATAATTTGAATAATTAAATCCGAGCCGTTCATTGTGACTCATGTGTAGTTGCACGAAAGGAATTTCAGGTGGCGGATGATGCCCCCCGAACAGCGCAGGTGGCAAATCGTCTGGAGTATCGCGCGAGCGAGAGAGGTAAAGTTGTCGGATCAGCAGAGCGAAACGTGATAGCCGAAGGATGGAGAACGAGAGGGAGGCCACAGTCTGGCGGCCCAGGTGTAACTTGCCGCTCGCTCGAACAGTACATTGCCGGACGCAATACTCGGCACGACGCTTCACCTAGATGCTATATCGTTTCGCATCGCCATACTGTTTTTTTTTTATTTTCCTCGATTCGCGAAAAACGCGCGCTGTTATTTCAAATTACGAACAATGTTATCTGGATAGCCGGATCCGCGAAATAACGAACGGACACGCGAAATGTCATTCGAGCGATTTCATAAGTGAGTGAGATCTCTTTTTATGTTTTCTTTTTTTTTCAGAATTTGTGTACGTGTGTGTATGCAGAATTGCATATCGAGAATGTGCTTCTTCTCTCTTTCTCCCTCTCTCTCCCTCTTTCTCCCTCTTTTTCTCCGCCCTCCCTTCCTCGCTGTCTCTTTCCTTCTTTCTCTCTTTCTCTCCTCTTCTTCTCTGCTCCTGTTTTATATACACGCGCTTCCACGTAGGACTTGTCCTGAGGTCCGGAAAGTGAAGAGAGAAATGTCGTGGAACAAGTACTCGCCTCGCGATTGAAAAAAAATCTCCGAGTCTGACTATGCGCTGATCGTGCGAAGCAATTCGATAATACAAAGAGAAACAGAACGATTAAGTACATCGAAAGTTATAAACGCAATATTAAATTTGCGAGTTAGATAGATCTTCGAATATATAATCAAATTTTTCCTTTAACAATTTGTTTTATTATTTTTATATTAAAAATTTAATATTTAAATGTCAATTGATTAAGAAAAAATTTGATAGTTTAACTATTACAATAAATACGAATTAAAATTTATGTTACATCTTGAAATATTTTTTACATTATACATAATTGGCGATTTACATAAATATTAATTAAATAATTTATCCAAAAGCAATTATAATATATAATCAATAATAATAAGATCTATCCTATACTTTAATAAAATTGTATCAAGGTGTAGTAAATAATTGGGATGGAATGAGAGAAGATATTAAAAAAAATTCATATCTTTCTTGACATTCATAATTATTATGATGTGTAATAAGTTGTTTTAAAATAGAGATACATTTCAGCAAAACACGATAATTAATATATTATACCTTAACAACGTTTATATTAATATTAAACAAATAAAAAGGACGATAATAATCTCAAATAATGCACAGGATTTATTAAATAAAGATACGCTTAATTAAAAATAATAAATTTCGAATATAGTTATCTCTACAAATGCATAATAATCGTGATCATGGACTGTTTTATTATAACATCGTGTGCATCGACAGAGCGCGTGCGGAATTTATGCGAAGAACTCTTATTTCATTCATCAGGAAAATTTATCGTTCAGATCAGATGTAGAAATTCCAAGCGTTTCTATCAATTTTTACTCGCAACGAACAGTACTATGCATCACATGACTAATGTATTAATTTTACAAACAATATACGGCACGAAAAATTATTACGACATATCTTATCGAATTTAGAGTTATCTTCTTAATGAAACTTTTTGTCTACAAAAGTGTTTCTTTTTAAAACTTTTCAATTTTCAATATTTAATTTAAATAAATGAAATATTATAATAAATATGTGTGAATATTAATCAAATTTAATATTATTTAATCTCAATAAAGTTTGTGAAATTAATTTCGATTATTGGATCTTGCAAAATAACATACACAAAATAATAAGAACGTAAAATTTTTATGAAAAAATGTGCTTTAAGCATTTATAATTTTGAGGAATTAATATCAAAGAACATGAATACCAAGATATATTACACACACACACGCACGCGCGCGCTCGCGCGCACACACACACACACACACACATATATATAATTTTAGTTTGTTACTTCATACTTCTTTATTACGATATTATAATTGCAACCCGAGATCATTAATGTTATAATTTATATTGATGAAGTTATAATTAATGAAGTACTTCTTCCCCAGGAAATAATACCTACTCGCTAATGCGTTAAAATAGTTTTTTGTGAACATCGGTAAATTGAAAGTACCTATTATCTTCGCAAATCGCATATATTTGCCTCAACCAAATTTCCTTAATTGAAAAGGAAAAAAAATTACTCATGTAAAATGCAAGCAGCTTAAGTGGTAATTAAAATATCACGAGCAACATGCCGCGAATAATTAGGTGTTAAGAAACATGGATATGCATATTTCGCGGAGTTGTTTCTGTTCATGATAAAATCCGCGATTTTTCCTTAAGAAACGTGATGATAATTAAAGTAACAACATAGTTTAAATCAGATAAGACTGCGATAGATTGCACGGTAACAAAAGTTCACGATATCATATTTTGAAACGTAAAAACATGTCAATTATAATTTTATAATAATTATATAATTATTAATTATAATATTATAATTATAAAATAATAATTATACAATATGTACAATAAATATACATATAACTTGATGATTAAAAATTATAAACATCAATAGATATCGTATTTTCATTTTCTTGCAGATATAATTTTTTATAAATCTTAATATTTGATGTTTAATACAGCTGCGAACTTAAGAAATTGAATTAACAATAAGAACACTTGATCGAACAAAAGAACGATATAATGCATAGACTTCTCTTTGTCAAAGGGCCGCTCGAGAAGGAGCATTGGACGTTCTGAAAGAAGCTACGAGAAAGGATTGTAATGCGCGAGATGAAGGAGGAATGACTCCAACATTATGGGCAGCCTTCGAAGGTCACATAGATGCCCTGAGATTGCTGGTCACCAGGGGGTATGCAAGCTTAATATTTTTTTTTATATTATAATTATGAATAAATGTGATCAACATCATATTTTACATTGATAAGTAATGCATGTAGCAAGATATTCGCATCTGATTGCGCGTAACATATTTGATTATTGCAACTTATTGCAAACCAAGTGTATAAGATTAACATTTCTCTCGTATTGTGATAAACGAAAATAAAATAATAAATATCCTGCATCAACGATTACATTATAAGTTGCGAAATCGAAGCAGAATATATTCAGCCGAACATACGTATATAACTTTGTGTTTTATCCACTTATACGAAACACAAGTACCTATCAAGCACGAGGTCGTCGTGCCCCATGAACACGACAGCCCCACTAATATATAGTGCTTTATAATTAATATTTTACTTCAAGCAGTGCTCAACGAACATGTGGGGACCTTCCGTTCAAGCTCCAAAATATAGAAAAGTTCCTCGACAAGATAGTTCCTCGATTATAGAAAAGTTTCCGTTTATCACGAACATTAATCAGAAAATACGAGTAGAATGAATTCTATCTACACAAACGAATTTTAACAATATCCTCGACAATATAATTACTTTTATATTATATTTTTATATTATATTTTCTACTATATATTTTCTAGAGAGAGTGTGCATTATACAGCAACAAAAATGACAATTCAATTTGCATTGTTTCTGAAAATTCCGTCAGCGAATCTTCAGCCCTATTATTACCTGCATGATAATATACATGCGGAACCGGAAGCACGCATTGCAGGTGTCCATCGAATGTACGATGGCGGAAACCACAATGAAAAACAATACAACCCATATCCGATAAAACAAGCCGCAGCAAACCTTATACATTCGTGATCTGAAAATTCTCGCATTTGTTTACGACAATCCGATTGAACAAACGACCGATCATCGTAAAATTTCGAACTGCGACTTTCTATGACATTCCGAGCAATCTTGACATTTTCAAGAGATTAAATAACTAAAAAGCTAAGAGATAACAATATTCCCGGGGATATATGTAAAAATATTTGTACAAATATCTCATAAATAAAAAATACATACAAATAGACGAACAAATAAATATACACCATTCGTGAGATGAAATCGATCATTGAAATTTATCTCGTTTTGGAAGCGAATCGATCGCCAAAAAAATTTCGGGAAATCCATACCATCCAGAAACTTTTAATATAATCCCAATAGATCCCTGAAAATTTAATAAATATAATGAATAAATATAATTTGTAATATCAAACCAATATAAAACAAAACATATCTCAATATTGACTTCTAACATAATAGCACAAATAAATATTTCTATTATATTTATTCGCGTCATTTACAATTATGAAATGAAAAAGTTAATACTTTTCCGGAATAATTACTACAAGTTACCTCTTTCTTTTGATTTTTGGATAATTCAAAACAATCCATAAGATTTCATGAAGTCGTAAGCATCCGAATATTTTAAAATTTCTTATCAAGAGATCGATGCTAACAAATGTGCAAAAAGAAATACGTACGCGGGTACAAGTTTTCAAAAATTATTTCAATAACAATAACAATGTTAAAGAGAAACTTTAATAATATTTTATAGAAACTAATTTTTTTTAATGTATTCGTCTTTGTGTGAAATTTTATAAATTTCAACATTTCTCTAATTTGAACACATACATTAACGCGTACATATATAAAATAATAGAATTTATTAATTTTCTAGAAGATGTTTCCTATTCCTTTTTTATGATGTGCTAAATATATATTTTAATATATATATATATATATATATATATATATATATATTAAATATAATATATGTTTAATATATATTTATTATATTATTGTTTATTAAATTTATTTATATTTTACATGCTTTTTTTTCTCAAATCTGAAGAATTTATCTCGTATTCATTTCGTCATAATGTAATAATTTTATCATAGAGGTGATCCGGACAAGACTGATTATTTCGGTAATACATGCCTGCATCTGGCAGCAGCGAGAGGTCACGAATTCTGTGTGAAATTCTTGGTGAAATTTGGTTGCAATATTTGGTCATTGGACATTGATCGACACTCCGCCCGAGAACTTGCAGCGATAAATGGTTGCGAGAGAATTTTGCAATTCCTAGACCTCGCCCAGGCCGATCAAGAATTGAATAGTCGTAAGAAAAGTCGTCTGCTCCGGGAAAAAGCGGAGAAAGATGCGGAGAAAAGGTATATATAATTGCGAAATAATCATTAATCCCCGATTAAATAATCCCGATCTTTATGACAATCTCGAATGAAAAAGTAATCAGTAATATTAAAAAAATATATATAACTATATTATATTTATCCGATTACAGAAATAATCAGAGATGATTTTTCGATTGCTTATTATTTTCGTTACAAATTTTCTATTTTAAATATATAGATATTTCAATACTAATCATATAAAAATATCTCTCTGTTTAGATTGAAAGAGTACATGAAAAAACAAAAGTTGGCTGAAATTAGAGCGGAAAAGGAACAGAAGAAACTCATAAAGAATCGCGCTAGATCGGACTCCGAGGCGATGAATGAATTGAATTCTCAACGCTCTGGCGTATTGACCTTTAAAGGCCGAATTAAACCTTCGCCGACATTTAGCGATATCGTCGGTACCACTACGAAGAGACAGCACGGCAGTACGGTATGTCGGAAAGCGTTAGCGAAGAAAGCCGCCAGCGACTTCAAGGTCGTAGAGGTAAAAAAAAATAATTTAATTTTTTACAACTCCAAGAAAAAAATTAAAAATAATATAAAATTAATTTTTACAATCCTATCTTTTGACATAACAATAAAATAAAAAAAATTACAAATGCATATTTTAAAATCTTTGAGTGATAATTTCTTTTTGCTTAATTTAATGATGAAAAATAGATTTAAATTTAATAAATTTAAATTAAGTCGATATAACATTCCAATTATAATATTGTATGTGCGTAATATGTCTATTATTGTAGGTTGAGATGAATGGAAAGAAATCTATTCGAAGTCTGACTGGTGTTCGACGGGATTCTGAAGTTATGTACGTAGGCACATACGATACTGAATCTCAACATATAGGCAGAAGAGGGAAGATCTCTGATGTATGGGGTACTCTGAGCAAATCTCAGAGCACACCCGATCTCTTAGGTGAAAGGATATATGATGAGGAGGAGGAAAATAGAGAGGAAGAGAATTTGAACATTGCAAAAGACACTGCTTTTCTTCAAGAACCGGCCAGCATTTTCAATCGACCTGGATTCGGTTCGGTGGCTTTCAGAAGGGCGGTTAGTTTTATTTATACTTATAAATCATAATTTTATTTAGAATAATTCTGAGACCTCTTGCTTCTCTGGTAAAATTAATATTAATTGTAAGCTGAAAAAAATCATGAACGAAAAAACTACTTTTTACAGTTTTAGCTATATGAATAGATGTTTTCTTTTCTTCTCCTTAAATATCTCAGCTCTGATATATTTTCCCTATTACTCTACATCATAAAGATTTATATAATATACGCAACATTTATTTGCAATTATTTTAATACGCTTCTTCACATTGTAATAATAATCTTCATCTCAAATGTAACTAACTCTTTTCACACGACTATCTTTGCTATAAAAGTTTAACCTGTAAAAATCGATATATTTTAATATTATGCCATTGTTTTCTTTCACAACGAAATGAACTATTATTTATTCTATTTGAATAGTGATTCAAGAGGAATAACAAAATATGAAATATAAAAATCGCACTTTTTTAAACGAATACATTATAGAAATGCAAATATTTATCATATGCAACAAATTAAACAATTATACAACAAATAAATTAAAAATATTATTTAATCATAAAGTGGCAAGAAAAAACTAATTAATTTGTTCGACATTGATTGTATTAGAATCGTCGTTTTATTGACAGATAACATCTACGCTGGACAACTTGCCGGTCACGCAGATGGACGTTCAATTACAAAACAGTAATCTTTCTGGAAACGGTTCTATAAATGGGTCCATAAATAGTAACAAATTTAGTCCAAATGGACATAATGAAGAGATCAGTATCGGAAGTGCTGGCAGTTTGGCTCGCAGGCAAAGTTCGTGGGATGAGGATCTGCTTTCAGGCAAGTTGAATGAAATTTTACAGTGTACAATAAGAATATACAATACGATGGTCTCTTCATAGATGATCTGTAAAATAGATGTTCTGTAAAAAAAACGATATGATACTCGATTATCTTATCTTTCTTCGCTCTTCCTGCGTCTTATTCGCAAGAACGGGATATCACATTGTGTATTAAATTGATCTGTGAACAGAAAGTGAAGAGACGGACGAGGAATGGACACCTTTGCAGAGATTTTTAGTCGCCAATAATCTCACATCCATACAGTCTATCCTGGAATCAGAGCAAATCGATCTGGAAGCTCTAATGCTGCTCACCGAAACTGACATAGCAGCCCTTAAACTTCCGCTCGGTCCTAGACGGAAACTCACTAATGCAATCGCAAACCGGAAACGAGCACTAAGCATGCCGGAGAGTATTATCAAGGACAGTAGATTATAAGCAAAGTATGTTTCATTAGCCATAGAGAATATTATTGTTGTCGATGAAATTATCCGTCCATCTACAAATGTATGACAAATAATTATTGATTTATACAAAAATTGAAATTAAAATTCTAAATATAGGATATTAAAAAATTTTACAAAAATTTATCAGACAAATCATTAAAAAAGAGAAAAAATTAATTATTAAAATTATTATTCAATTACTTGATCATACATTGGTAGCGCTATATTATATATTTATCAATATATTTGTATAATTTTTATCATATATCAGGATAATCTCTTAATATCGAACTTCTTCGTGTGCCTTGTAGTTTTTATAGTTTTATTAGTTTATTAGTTTTGTTAGTTTTTATATCTTTATGTACTATCAACATATTTTTTTTCACTACTACCATATATTAAGACACTAATTTTAAATAATCTTATTGAGAACTAAATTATATATGATTATAATAATCGTAAATAATCGTTAAAAAAAAGATATTGAGAATCAGAAAAAAAGGACAATCAAGTACTCAATTAGTAATAGATAAAATGGAATAGAATAGACCATAGAACAGTTTATGCCATAATAAACAAAAATTCAATACATACTGCCATAAAATATAGTACCACTGATGTTGCTAATACTCAACATCAACTTGACAGTTACTCTAGATTTTCATATATCATTATACTTGGAATCTTAAATGTTTACCATAATTAATTTAAAACTTATTATTTTTTTATATTAAATCATTAAAAAAAATCAGATATTAAAATATTATTGAGGAACTTTGCACTGTATGATAATCAAGACTTCTGCATGCTCCATCTTTTATAAATTATTTTAAAAAAATGATGATCACGCAACAATAATAATGGACAATAAATATTGATTAGTGATGATCTTTCAAATAATGACAATCTATTAAGTTACAATAATTGTGTAGTAAAATTTAGCTTTTATAATCATATCTTAAATATAAATAGGAAAGTAGTGATAATTACTAAGATATGATTTAGATTACAGTATTATATATAACTTCGTAACATTATGTATGATGCATATTATATCCACAAATAGCACAAGATGTACATCTTGCTGTACAAAATGAATGTGTGACAACAAAAAATGTACAAAAACGAACATATAACAATAAACAAGATGTATATATGCAAACATAATAATCTGTATTCACACAGACAGAAAAAAATCATAACGTGGGCAAGAAAACGACCACGACGAGTTTCTTTCTCTCGTGTGATTTATTTGTAAATGATTATCTTACAAACAAGAGGCGCAAAAATATACAAGCTTCTTATGTTCGCAAGAAAGTAACAGCACCATTTCACGCCTTGTTATGAACACGCGTCCAATCAAGGCGTTATATTCGTGCAAGAGTCTCACGTACACTCATTCTCGCAAAAGTACACCAATGCAACTTGCAGTAATGTGCACTGGAATAATAAAGGAAGCAAAGAAGAATACGCTCGTAAAAAATTTTTTGGTGCTTTTACGTTCGTCAAACGCATGTTTATGCGTTTCTTTGCGTCACGAATGTACGAAATACAGTATAATTATGAAGAATATAATACACAAGTGATTCCTCCTCACTCTCTTCATCTCCGGTCTTTCGCTTATGAATACACTATTACATCGGGGGAGAAGAGGTTTTGTTATATTGATTTCGTTATATTTTCAAGTATGTATTCTCTGTTTCCTAGAGACATCTGTTAAGCGCGTGTCTCTCCATCATTACATTATTATACATTTACATATTTTCATAAATATATCGTTATACTCATAAACATAAAAAGATTTTTTCGCAATTTAATATAAATATCTCTTACACCATAAATTACTCAACATAATTTCGTACAAACTTCGTTTATCGAAACTATCAAATTTTAAACTATAATTTTTATAATATTAAATATTAAATATATCAAAAACCGATTTTTAACAAAACAACTTTTAAAATAATACATACAATTTTTCAATTACATAACACATATTTGTTTTGCAGTGCGTTAGACTTATAATTGTATCTTAATCGCAAAACCATTTCAATTTCAAATTTGCTCGACGCGCACATTGTATCTGTAGATATATCATCCTATAATGGCCCGCAGATTTCCGACGAGATAATTCTATGAGAAAGGGAAAGCTCCTCACATGTGTGGGAAAATTTTTTCGCTGACCTCAAAGTGTCGTCTCGTTGGTGGTTTATTACGCAAGATGGGAAAATGCCAATTACATCGACGAAATATTCAAGTCGTTTATTCGCTAATGAATAAAGGAGCATACAATTATCTTACGACGTTTGCAAATAATTCTCGAAAGTAAAGAGAGTAAGAAGCTATAAGTAAACGAAAGAATAATTCTCTATTCTTCACTGGTATTCCTAAATACGACTTATGTGAGAAAATAACTCTCGACAATATTTCTTCCAAATATTAACCGATCAAGAACAGATGTCTCAATGATGCAATCAAGTAAGTATCATGAATACATGAAACGGAAACGAAAACAGAAGATCGGTGCGTTTGTAGAGTTGCCTCGACATCACTCTGTCGAATTTGGTGCGCTCGCTTATGGGTAAAGTGTACCTAAGTATGGCATCTTCGCATACGATATATACCTAAGTAATGTATTACTTTCTTCTATCATAGAGTTACGAAAAGAGCGACATTTACACAGAAAATATTTTCGACAGCTGAAATCGGCTGGAAGGAAGAAACGATGAGAACGATGCAAACGTACAAATTGTTCAATCGGTTCTTTTTACATCATCGTAAAAGCAAATGCCTTCCATGATCTGCATATACAATAGACATGTAAATGGTTCGTTCGCAAAAAATAAATTCTCCACGGTTGCTGTATGTTCTCACTGATGCGAGAGATTGACACATCATCAACCTCGTCCAGAAAAATGTAATTGAGGGTAGTCCTCGACATTTTATTAACTGCCGATCGCACGATATCATTGATAAATATCATTAAAGCTATCGCATAGTAGTTAATATTAATAATGATATTAATTATTAGCGATATATCTATATTTATCGTAATTAGCATATACTATATATTTACAACTGAACAAGCTTTTTGCTCCTTTCATATGAACGCTCGAATAATCTTACGAAGAAATGAAATAAAAATCAACTTCTATGTCATTTTCAAAGAACTGATATGACTATTGCAGACTGATTAAGCTATGAAAATAAATCTTGCATTTATAAATCGAATCGTAATGAATTCGGTAAGCGCGAATAATAATTCTGCTGACTTGTCTGCAGTAAAGGTTCCTGCTTTCTTATTGCTGCTATATTAAATTATGTCATCAGAAGCGAGAAATCACATGTGAATCTTTTTACGTATAAATTAATTAACTTTCTCTTATATACATATGCGTTCGAAAATATGAATTGATAAAATATATCAAATTAAAAACTTTTTCTACTATTGATAAACGTATGTATAACTCATCTGCATATGCCCTATATTTCTATAGTGAAAATAAATTTTATAAACTTAATTAAGATTTAGAACTACTTATTAATCTACAAAACAGAACAAGAGCCTTTGATATGTTTTATCAATTTATATCATTAAATGTAATAACAAAAAAAACTAATTTAAAAATTTATTTCGACGTATTTTATAAAAAATTAGGAGATATTAATATGATTTCTCGTTTCAGATGTTATAATTTAATAAATAGATCAAGAGTTTTAAAAAAATTGATCCATATTATACGACATAACACTGTACGGTACAGTATAACATGACATACGACAAGAAAAGATATTTTTTTCTGACATATTAAATCAACAAAAATATGTAGACTCATTTTTAATAAGTTTACCTCATTTTTATACATAAATTATCATATCTGAAATCATTTAGCTGATATCTGATATCATATTAGCAGTGATACGTGATACGAGACAAAATATTCTCTTGAGTTAATATCAAAACGTCATGTTCTTCTCTTCTTTATCTATTATTATTGTTATTTCCTTATATTTTTAAAGTTTTTTCAATGATTGAAAATTGTTATGCGAGACATATCACACACGTGCGCACACGGTTTGTGTGTGTGTGTGTGTGTGTGTGTAATCTTGAAAAACAATATTCAAAGTTTTATATATATATATATATATATATATATATATATATATATAAATTTTAAGTAAATAATAATTTTTATAAAATAAAATAGTAAATTGTTAACTCTGAGAAAGATATTTATAAAATTTTATTTTACTATTTTTCTAGTAATTCAAAAAGTAGTAATATAACATTAATATAACATTGAAAAACTCTTCAAAACTTTTCTTTTTTTAACATCTGATAAGCTTTAGAAAGAGATGTTATTTTTAATTTTTCTTTTTATTTCTCATCTAATAAAGAATCACACAAGATTAAATCAATCATCTTCAGATCAACATCTTTTATTAAAGTTTATTTTTAGATCTTTTTTCAATTTTATTAAAATTAAAATAAAAATTTTTATTGTCGTACCTCTTGCATGCCGTTGTAAATACACAGCAGTTTTTGTCATGTAATTGTTGTATAATGTAAATCGAGTTTTAAATCTTTGAAAATTCAGACATAGAAGCAATGTGAGATATATTAGCTAAAAATAATGTACACTTACAATCAACCACCTTTATATTGGGCACCTTTATATGTGTGTGGGGCTCTCACTCTCTGGCACAAAACGTTAAACGCACAATCGTTAAGCGTCTTTGTTGTTTCATAAAATACACTGCTAGATATATAGTATATGTATGTATGTATATGTATATATATATATATATATATATATATATATATATAAATACATAAAACGTATATATGTACACATATATACACGTATGTATGCATATATTGGAACCATTATCTCATCTATCCTAACAAAGTCTACATTTACATAAGTTGAGTGAACACACTTTATGTCCTTATGGAATTATGGAGTTAAATCCATCTTTTGCATTAACGTAGACTTTGTTGGTAGTGTAAAAAGCTTGGTATTATTTTGACGGTCTCTTCTTTTTTCAACACAGAAAATAAATCAAATTTATACTATTGCATCATTTTTTCCTCAATATATTGATTTGTTAATAAATTAATTATACGTGCCTACCTGCCTTTTATTTTGCCCTTTATCTTGCTTGTCACATTTGAAATATCCTATACTAGAAATTTGGTTTACCATAATCAAGACTCTATACTTTTTCTCTCACAGTGAATCTCTTTAAGAGATATTATCGATTATATCTTCGTAATATTCATAACTAACGCTTTTCATATAGAGTTGAAAAAATGAATTTTATTAAATACTTTAAATATTCTATATTTCTCTTGAAATATTAATAATCTTATCATTTCGATTTTGTCATCATTTCAATAACATAAGAGTCTGACCACGCAAAATTAAAATTCAAAAAATTGGATAATAATTTCTATTCATGATAATGTACATGATGAAATGGGAGAGTAGTGTTCAGAAGAAAAATTTATATATAAATGAGCTTTAAGCGAAAATAAATAGTGTGTGTGTATATACAGGGTGACCCATTTTAACTTAGGCAGCCAAATAACGAAAAATAAGCACACTACGAAAAAATGGTTAGAATCAAAATTTCGTCATTTCGAGGGGGACGTACAATGACGTTAAAATCAGCCCCCCTACCCCTCCCCCTGGGCGGTGAGGGGGGGCAAGTTTGAAATCTTAAATGGGAACCCCTATTTTTCATTGCATATTCTTGTAGCTTATCTCGAGAGCTTTCCAAAACACTATAATTAAGTACCTTTTTATTAAGTACTTTTTGAGTTATAAGGCTTGAAATAATTTCTTAATTTTACATAAACCATAAAATATCTAGTAAACCATTCATTTTTCGATTATCTTACCTTCATACTTTTATGTACAAAATAATGAGAGGAATCAATTGGTGTAAAGAAAACACATAGTTGTTTCTAAGAAAAAATATGTAATTTGCAATTAACAATTCCATATTTTTTCTTAAAAACAACTGTATGTTTTCTTTACACCAATTGATTCCTCTCATTATTTTGTACATAAAAGTATGAAGGTAAGATAATCGAAAAATGAATGGTTTACTAGATATTTTATGGTTTATGTAAAATTAAGAAATTATTTCAAGCCTTATAACTCAAAAAGTACTTAATAAAAAGGTACTTAATTATAGTGTTTTGGAAAGCTCTCGAGATAAGCTACAAGAATATGCAATAAAAAATAGGGGTTCCCATTTAAGATTTCAAACTTGCCCCCCCTCACCGCCCAGGGGGAGGGGTAGGGGGGCTGATTTTAACGTCATTGTACATCCCCCTCGAAATGACGAAATTTTGATTCTAACCATTTTTTCGTAGTGTGCTTATTTTTCGAGTTATTTGGCTGCCTAAGTTAAAATGGGTCACCCTGTATATATATATATATATATGCGTGCGTGTGTGTGTGTATACACAGGGTGTCCCAAAATCATTATAATCAATCTTTCAAAGACAAATTCCTGAGATCATTTGTAGACGATTTTTCCTCAGCGAAAATGTCGATGAAGGCCATTTTTGAAGGTCATTTTTTGTACATTCCTGATTTTTGTCATTATATATCTTTGCAATTAAGCCTTAAATTAAAACTCAAGTAAAGTAAACTTTATTTAAAATTAATCAAAGAATATGATTTTGTTAATATTTTATTTCTACAAAGCTTAGTTTACGAAAAACTCCTTATTTCCAATCACTTATAATTCGAAAATTGTTAGTGCCTCGACATTTCCATTGAGGAAAATTGTCTTCAGATAATCCCAGGAATCTGTCTTTGAAAGATTATGGAAGAGAATTGAGACACCCTGTGTGTATATATATATATATATATATATATATATATATATATATATATATATATATATGGTATGTATGTATGTATGTGTATATATATGTGTGTGTATATATATATATATATATAAAGCTAAAATAAAAATTCAAATTTACTGTATATTTGAAAATTTCATAAGAAATATTTTAATAAGAGAATAGATGAATCAATTTTGGTAACTGTTAAATGAAACTTGAAATGACAAAAATCGAAAATTTTATAACTATTTTGATTTTTATTAACTAAAATCAATTATTGTTATAAAATCAATTATTATATAATGAACAATTTGAAAAAAAGGCTCCTATTTTATCACTGCATCACATTAAATTATGATTTTAGAAATAAAAAATTTGAATCTGTGAATAACAGAAACTTTTTCTTATATATGTTAAAATAAATTAACTTGTTATACATCATCACACTTGTACACTCAATAATATTAATAAAAAATACTATTATTTTAAAAATTATTACTATACATACTATATTAGTCTACTAATAATAGAATGTTATACTACACACACATCACTATTTTATTATTATAGAAATTAACTTTCTTTTATAGTAAATTATATATTTTATATAGTAAATATGTATATATAACTCATCTGCATATATCTTACATTCCCAACAAAAATATATCTCATTCTCTGGTATCTAATCAAAATTTATTTTTAATTCATGAATTGAAAGATCTTTAGTATATTTTACCATCTATATTAGCTCTGAAATGTGAGTGGTAACATATAAAAAATTAACTTATTTCATTATATTTCAAGAAAAAAATTCACGTAATTTTTCATTCCTACATTATTAATTTAATGTAATGTCAATGAGAAAAGCAGGAACCTTAATGCGAAAAGAAATATTTTACAATGAAATAAATTTATTTTATATTAATATTTTTTTTTTATTTTTGCCATAAATTTATGCTTATTAATTTTGGCATAAAAATGTTCATTCTTTATTAAAAATTTTAACTGTTTGTAAGAAAGCAACGAAATTGATTGACAAATATCAAGATGCTTATTATTCACTGCAAATTTGAATATACATATAAATATATGTATAAATGTTTATATAGACTTAACATTTTAAATAGTTACATGTTTGCTCATAATTCTTCTAGTAAGTCGATTTACAGATCGCCAATATGATTTCGATAATACAAATTTTTGCACACGAAAAATTTAATTAACCATCATGTATACATATTTTAAACAATATTAAGATATAACATAACATATTTCCGCTTTCATTTTTGTAATTTTGTATACATAAACATAAACATAAAAAACACACATATATATAATTTCTAAATTTTGATAAAATTTAATATAATTAGAAAAATAAACATATTTAGCGTAAATTATTATTGTGTGTGTAAACTATTATTTTGCAAATATATTGCCAAAATAAACATCTCACAAATATATATATACATATACATACATATTCTGTGTGATTCTAAATGTAAATTATTTTAAATTATATGCGTCGGTCAGAACTAACTGTACAAGTATAACTTTTTAAGAGACTTTGAACATGATAAATATCGAGATCGGCAGCAGAAGCTATCGGAGATACATACAACGTACTTACCTGGCAGTGTGAACCACTACCGGTTTCCTCCAGTGATTAACATATAACCGGGAGTTATGTAGAGGAGTTATTAGTCATTAGTCGGGTCGATTAATCAACAGGGAGCGAGGGAGTAAAGCTACCATACGCATCGCGCGCCGTTACAGTGTAGTACGCGTACGTTTGTGCGTGGGTGATCCCATATCCACGTCATGTGAAGCGGGTCGTTTATGCCGAGCTAATTCGTTATTAATAAAAGTTGACAATTCGGCTTGTTTTCCGCTACGTCGAGACACTGGAGAACCTAGAAGGATACAATATTTTGGAAACTTTCCTCACAGGTGCATTGTTTCATATAAATGTGTCAGGTGCAGTGTTTCATATAAATGTCTGTCTTTAATTAAACGTGATTGTATTTTAATTTTTAATTTTATACGTTTTAATATGATGGAAAGAATATTATGGAAAGAATTAATAAATATTGCAACTTTATAATATAAATAGCATAACATCATTAAATGTAAAAAAACTTATTGAGAAGTGTAATTATTTTAAATTAAATTAAAAGATAGGAGATAATATACCAGATAATGCAATGGCTTCCCTAAATGTGTGTAACTCAGGGTCTGGATCACTGCCTGCTGTTGGTGCTGGAGCAATAACCATACTTGGCATTTGACTTTGCGATGATGGAGAACCACATACCATCATACGAGGTTTAGGTGAACTTCTATAACATTGCGTCATATTAGTTTAAAAAAAGCAATCAGTATTATTCATTTACTTGTTAATTTAATAAAAGTTTAATAGCGTCAAAATATGTACAATAATTTAATTTAATAATACGCTGAAAATAAATCACGAAGCAAAAACGAACCTGTGCGAATGTGGCCGAGGTGGTGGTGGTGGCTTTCCAGAAAGATACGCAAGAAGATCGGATCTTCCAGAAATACGCAAGAAGATCTTCCCTGCGAATCATACGTCTTTTTTTTCTAGCCCAATTCATTATTTCTTTACAATGTTTCTGTCTTCCCATTTCTACTCCTAAATCACTGCATCGCCTCATGCAATCCACCGAATCTATTAAAACAAATTTTGATTAATTACAGACGCATGTAACTCTTACTTTAAAAGCGTGTTCTGTTTGCAAGAATAAAAAGAGTAACACGAACATGAGTGCGAGAATGATATTATACAATGACTTTTTTTATTATACAATCGCTATATGAGAAGATATAATAATAGCTTGCCAAAAATATATATACGAGTATAACTGATACAAGATACATTGCAATGACTTGCCGAAAATTTTCTTTATCTTTAGACATTGTGTAACTTACAATTAAATCACTAAACAAACATAAAAATAGTTTTCTTGAGTGACACGATAATACATATAAGCAAATCGACTTTGTACATACGCAATAAAATTATATATTTATATTTGAATAAAATCCCTTAGAATAAGAAAAAGACACGAGCGTTCTTTAACATCTCTCGATATCATATTAATCGCAAAATTATATTTATTGCTCACAACCAGTAACAGCTGACCCTGAGCGTGGTCAGCCATTACGAGTGCTTATTTGCGGCTTCGTAAACGACGGTCATATTTCAAGTATAAATCACACTTTAATCGAGCACAAAACGTAGTGAAGATCGCAAAATGCAATCGCTTTAAAGCGCTGCGACGTTTCAAGGAAAAGGAGATGGCGGAAGGGAAGGTGAAAACGAAGAAAGAGGGGATGGCCATGCGTTTATCTACGGGTCATTGTTGACAATGGAGATCGTAAAACTGAGGGACACGCACCTTTGTACAACGATGTTACAGTACCAGCGGCGGTCTGAAAGGGCACCCATAACGAGACGCCCAGCGTGCGGTCTGTAAAATGGTAATTGAAGATAATTTCAGGGGATGTTCTTGGATCGATAGCTTCGTACAACTGCTCCGAGGGTCACGAGAACGAAGAGAATCGAGATCGCGAGAATCGTGAGAGTCGTGAGACAGCCACGCGGATCGGAGGATCGTTCTCGTAACCTTCGCGGGATCCAGGGGCGGATGTGACGCGAGAGAGAGAGAGAGAGAGACGACCACGCGGTCGCCGACGACGAGCTCTCGCGAAGAGGGACGAGGGGCGGCGGGGCGGGGGGGTCGTAACGTCGGAAATATGCGATACATACGTCGCTGCGGGAACGTAGGAATCACCTTTGTACAATTGGGCGATGGCCGACGCGGTGGTTTGGAACTTGGTCCACATCTGCTGCGAGTAGAGCTCCTTCTCGTTGTGCAGCTGATTCTCGTAGTCGGGCTCGGACTCGAGCGCCTCGACGCACTGCTGCTCCCAGTTGCTGTACCAGAGGTCCATTATCGGATCATCCTCGCTCCTGTCGTCGCTCATCGCTGCCGATCGCGCGATCGACGCACCACCGCTCCTCGCTCGCTGCTACGAGAGTGCGACACACACAAGCGCGCGCGTCGCGCGACACACACGCGCTCACTCACACGCGCGCGTCCAGTGCGCGCGCGCGCGCATACACGTGCACCCTCACACGCGCCGCGAGCGATCCTCGCCGTGGACCGGAGAACGCCTCGCCCACCCCGACAGGCGACACGAGACCCTCGAAATATTACACGGCGGTTAATTTGCCTCTCTGCTGCACCCAGAGCGATTATTGCAGCTTCTTCGAGGGGAAAGAGCGATCGAGGACCTCGATGACGAGAGCGACGATAATCGCGTTTCGTTTTCTGTCTTTCTCTTTTTCTCCAGACCACCCAGGTTCTGTTCCTTCCTTACGCTGGTCTAGTCCTCCCGTAGCATGACAGACACGCGTGCCTTCTGTCTAGGAGAGTCAAGTCGCGGCCATTACTACTGTTACGCCTCGATCACGAGTACGCGCGATTGCACCACGTTTGACACTGTCCGATATCCGGGTTGATAACTTTCCATGAAAGGTGACGAATAACAAGCAATGACAAGTGGCGTCCTACTTGGAGAGGGTCCGTTCTGCGATAAGCGCAGCTTTAGCGCATCAACGGAAAGGATGAATCGCGCATTCTTGTCCTCTCTCTATGCACACTCACTAATTATTATCATTATTATGATTATTATTATTATTATTTCTTGTTTCCATCTAGCAGACCAAGAATCATGTGCAGTCGTTAAACCTCGTTCTCTGTAGCTGAACCTCTTGCACTTTCTACGTCCCCTCTCTTTCTCATCACTTCTAAATATACGTCTGTCTCATTTTTCATGTACACCAGTGCGGAGAGTTTAGAGAAATAAACCTCTATACATGCTGGAACACGAGCGCCCTCGTGTCCGATCTCTTATAAGTGCGTTCAAAATCGCACATGTGGGATCGAGTAACTGATTGGCCAATTGGGACGTAGATATCTTTATTCCTTTTGTTCTGATTAGTCAATTAAATTGTACGAGTAGAATTTTCCATTGAATTATATACGTATTAAAATAACCAAGGAATGGGAGGCCGATACAATTTTAAGAAAACGATAGTCACGATAGGATCATTGAACTCTATAGATACTAGAATGAGTCATCTCTTTGTTAGCATGATAGGGGATGGCAAGTTCAAGAATAGGACACAACATTTAATTATACTTGTCTCATTCTAATACATATTATTGTTTACTAAAAACATTTGCCTCAATTAATTTCAGTATTGTTAATGCCACAACTGTTTGTAATAAATAATATAAACAGTTGTTAAAACAAAAATATGATTCAACGCCATCTATATCTTTTCTTTTTCTAATATGTGCCACCCCCCCCCCCATCTCCCATGTTTATTAAACAAAGGGATCATTCATTATTTGTAGAGTTCAATGAAATTTTCGAATGCATTTTAGATTTGAAAAATTTTAATGCGCATGTGCATTATTCAAAGGCTACAAATTCATTCTCCCTTTTTTAAATCATTTTATATGCTTTTATGAAATTTAATTATATATGACTTAAATATTCTCTCCATAAAATGCAAAATTGAACTAGATTCATTTTTTATAGGATTCAGTAAGCTAGTACTGCAAGACAGGAGGATATTACAGTTAGAATTTTTGTAAGCATAACTATACACAAGTACACCATAATCTTGACAGATATTTATAAAGTACATGAATTAATTTATAAAAAATTATTTTTTTGTCGGTATTTCTAAACTTATCAACGGATTTGATGCACGAGCCTGATGTCTCGATTTAACAGCCGTTGCTCCCGATGATGCAGCATTTCTATCAAATTTTCTTTTTCTTTTTCCTATTCCCATGATACCTTTTAAAGTTGATGGTATTATATATTCAGGTACATCTTTTAAATGTGGCTGCAGCTTCACAGTATGTAACGCCTTATCTTGCCGCAACGACTGCAAATCTCGCGGATTGTCTTCGAAATAACTTTTCAACTTTTCGCAATTTATAACTTCCTGTCTAATTTCTTTTAATCGTGCCTCTCGTACAGCAATTCTTGTAACAGCTTTCCAACCATCTTTAGCACGATAACTAAAATTATTACAATTTCACGATGAAACAAATTTATGTTAAAAAAAAATGTTATATGAGAAAAAAATGACACAGATAACATTAAGAATAAAAGTATGTTTATACTGTTTTACAATTCAATAACAACGTGTTATAAACAGAAGAATTAGAGAGTACGTACCGAAACCCTTCCACTTCTTCTAATTTAAATTGATAAGTCTTAAATAGATTTTCGCAATTGTAGGTGCCCTTTAAATGCTCTTCTACCTTCTCCATCAGTGGTCTTTCTCTGATCGCTACAAAACTAAGGGCAGTTCCTTGATTTTTCCCGCGAGCAGTACGTCCTGCTCTGTGTATGTAAGAGTTTATATCCAATGGAAAGTCAAAATTGATTACATTGGATACAAATTGAAAATCGATGCCGCGTGCTACACCCGATTCTTTGTCTTTTTTTCGCTTATCTTTTTTCGTTTTTATTACATGTGGCTGTAAAAAATGAAAATAATATAATATATATCTTTTATTATGACATATATATTTTTTTACCTCTTCTAATGCCTTCTCATCTGATGCTATTATGATGTCATAAGTGCCACTGTTGAATTGTGTGACCGCTCTACATCTTGAAGTCGCTGGTAATTCGGAATTTAAGATACAAGTGGGAATACCAAATTGTTCCAGGAACAATTTCAATTTATAACATCTATCAACTGTATTTACAAAGATTATGGTTTTGCCCCTGATAATAAGAAATAATTTATTAATCATTGAAAAATATAATTTTCTATTAGAAAAAATTATAAAATATTGTTTAAAACTTCATGTTTTCTATCGCTCACATTTTTGAAATATCTAAGTATGTGAAAAAGATTTAAAAATAATAAATGAGGTAAAGTATCTTAGATATAAGTATTAAATAATTGATCACAAAAGTATAAGTGGTAAAAAGGCAATAGGCATAACATTTTAAAATTATCAAAAAGATAAACAATTTTAAAAATACTTGATTAAGATATATTACCTAATTAAATGTAATTTCAGCAAAGCATATAAAATGGCAGCTTTGTCAGTTTCCTCTGCAGCTAAAGTATAATGAGCTAATTGTGTTGGTGGAGCCAGAGGTGGCTCCTCTAATTTTAAAATTGCAGGATTATGTAAAACTAATCTTTTCAAGGCTTGAACATCCTCAGATAATGTAGCAGATGCTAAAATTGCTTGATAGGCTGTTGGTAAGTAGGTTAATACAGCTTTAATTTCATTTTCATATCCAAACGAAAAGAGCTGAAATAATTTAATCATTTAATGATTCTACATATGTAATAGAAAAATTTAGTTTACAATATTATCTATATAAAATAAGTATGTACCAGATCAGCTTCATCGATTATTAATGTTTCTAAGCTATGTTTCAGCATCATATTTCCTGCTTTTAGATGTTGCAATAACCGACTTGGTGTAACTACAATAATATCTGGCATTTCATTGAGTAGCGGTTTCTGTGCATTCAAATCTGTTTGTGGACTAATGTCAATTACTCGAACTTCTCTATAGCATTTTGTAGTCAAGCACATGATGACATCGTATATTTGCTTGCATAATTCTTTGCTAGGTGCAACAATCAGGCCCTTAATCTGCTGTTTCTTTTGCATTCGCTTATTTACTAATATTTTCTGGATAAGTGGTAGTGCAAATGCAGCAGTTTTGCCGGAACCTGTGCGTGCTCTAATTAAGACATCTTTCCCTTCAAGGATCAGAGGTATCGCTTTTTCTTGTATTAATGTAGGCTCGTTCCATCCCAGTTTTGCAATAGCCTAAAAAATTATTTTATATATGTATCCCTTGTACATTTTCCAAATTATTCTTTGAATTATTCAAATTACCTTCAACAGCCTATCATCTAATTCTAATTCATGGAAGTTTTTTGATTTTATTTCGTCTTCTTCGTCTAATTCCATATCTGTACAGATTTATTGTTTTTCAATCACAAACTATTTTAATTTAAACTTAACCTGCAAATAAAGCTTTATTCCCTTCACCACGTGACATATATGTGAGAAATTCGTTCCGAATTACAACGGTGTAATCAGAACTAAAGGTGCAATTTCATTGACGCTAAAAAGTAGCGTCGACCATTGGTTGAACCAGAGAGAAACCTGAGAGCGGCCACCTCGCTTTAACGGGTATATTGTCCTAATGCGCTCCCTGACAAAGTGGACGTCAACTACATCCATTGCAGTCGATAATAATACATGGTTCGTGTCTGAGCTATGGTTCATGTCCAAGCTATGGAGTGACCCCAAAAGTGATACTCCCTCTATGGACATTCAAAACATGGACATGAACTACAAAGTCAAAATTCATGAATGTTCTCAGAGGGTAATATATAATTGCACAATTTCTGGTTTTGTTCCGTGCTATGTGCACGAAATGCCGGTAGCACCAGTGCTATATAACAATTAAATACTTATGTGTGTAAATTGATAACAAATAAATTATTCAATCGCGACAGATACTGTAATATTCAAAGATGAAATAAATATTTTTCAAAATAAATTGGTAAATAATACGGCTCTATGTATTTATCAACATGATAATTAAGTAAAGAGCATTAAGAGCCCACAAAACGCGGATGGCAATGCGTAAATTATTTCGAACATTAATTGTTCGCGAAATTTTTTTTTTTTTTTTTTAAATGCGTTATTAGGAGAACATGATTTGTAAAGAGGTCATCAACGCATCTTCGACCTCCTCGCAAAATATATTCTCCTGATAATATAAAATAATAAGAAACGAATTTTCGAACATTTTCACGCTTGCGTTATTAGGAGAACATGATTTGTAAAGAGGTCATCAACGCATCTTCGACCTCCTCGCAAAATATATTCTCCTGATAATATAAAATAATAAGAAACGAATTTTCGAAAATTTTCACGCTTGCGTTATTAGGAGAACATGATTTGTAAAGAGGTCATCAACGCATCATCGACCTCCTCGCAAAATATATTCTCCTGATAATATCAAATAATAAGAAACGAATTTTCGAAAATTTTCACGCTTGCGTTATTAGGAGAACATGATTTGTAAAGAGGTCATCAACGCATCATCGACCTTCTCGCACAATATATTCTCCTGATAATATAAAATAATAAGAAACGAATTTTCGAAAATTTTCACGCTTGCGTTATTAGGAGAACATGATTTGTAAAGAGGTCATCAACGCATCATCGACCTTCTCGCACAATATATTCTCCTGATAATATAAAATAATAAGAAACGAATTTTCGAAAATATTCACGCTTGCGTTATTAGGAGAACATGATTTGTAAAGAGGTCATCAACGCATCATCGACCTCTTCGCACAATATATTCTCCTGATCATGTAAATTATAAGAAACGAATTTTCGAAAATTTTCGCGCTTGCGTTATTAGGAGAACATGATTTGTAAAGAGGTTATCAACGCATCATCGACCTCTTCGCACAATATATTCTCCTGATCATGTAAATTATAAGAAACGAATTTTCGAAAATTTTCGCGCTTGCGTTATTAGGAGAACATGATTTGTAAAGAGGTTATCAACGCATCATCGACCTCCTCGCACAATATATTCTCCTGATAATATAAATT